CCCCAAAACCCCAAAACCCCAAAACCCCAAAACCCCTCATCTCTACAAAAAATTGGGGAGTCTAATATTTAAATTTCATAAATGGAGGAAAAAGAACAAGTAGCCAGCATCCCATTTATTACATTTAATAAGCAATTTGATGTCAATCCAGAGGCCTTAGATTTCCTCAGTCAGTTTAAAGGCAAACTAGGGGTTATCTCTATCTGAGGAAAGTACAGAACTGGAAAGTCATATCTCCTTAACCGGGTGGTCGAGGATAAAATTAAAGAAGACTTGGATAAATCTGGTTTTATTGAGAAGAAAATGACATTTAACGTTGGTCCAACAGTCAATGCATGCACCAAAGGTCTCTGGATTCTTAATAAACCTATTTACATTACTAAAAATGGAGAAGAAATGCCAATAATTGTGGTTGATACTGAAGGGCTTGGGGCGATTGATGAAGACCAAAATCATGATTCTAAAGTCTGCCTTCTATCTCTCTTGCTTTCCAGTCTCTTTGTGTACAACAGTGTGGGAACTATTGACGAGACTGCTCTCAATTCTCTTGCTCTCGCGATTAATCTATCAGCCCAGATTGAAGACCTGGGAGAGTACTTCCCAGCTTTCCTCTGGGTTTTGAGAGATTTCTCTCTTAAACTAGAGGACGAGATAGGCAATGAAATATCTGCCAAGATGTATCTAGATCTTGCTCTTAAAGAACAGAAAGGTTCTTCTGATAATGTTGAATCAAAGAATAGGATAAGGAGGATGATAAAGCACTTCTTTCAGGAAAGAGACCTCAGTGTGCTAGTCAGGCCTACTGAAAAAGAGTGAGACCTGCAAAATTTAATGGAGATGAGGAATGAAGACTTAAGAGATCAGTTCATCAAAGGACTTAGTCATTTAAAGAATAAGATATTTAAGAAAGTGCAACCCAAGAAGTTAAATCAGCATTATATAAATGGATCAATGCTAGGAGATCTCGCTGTAGCTTATACTAAGGCTCTTAATCAAGGATCAATTCCAAAGATTGAGAATTGATGGGATTATATGATTGACGCTGAGAACCTGAAAGGACTTCAAGCAGCTTTTAAATCAATGCAAGCTCAAATTGATGAGATAATACCCAATCTTCCCATGGATGAAGACCAACTCCTTGAGAGAAAGAATTTGATATTCAAGAATACAGTTAGGTTATTCCAAGAAGTTTCTATGATTCACAAAGACCAGGGCTTAGATTCCCATATTGAGAAGATAGCGAACAAGCTTGAGCAAGAGTATTCAAAACTTCTCAAAGAGAATCGTGAAGTGATAAAGCAGATGCTCCAAGATTACTTTGAGAACAATTTCAAACCACTAGTGAATTCAAATTTGAGTCAACAAAAATATCAAAGTTTTCAGGACTATGACAAAGAAATGGAGCTGTTCAAGGTAGAATTTATTAGAAAAATGGAAGGCAAGGCTAATAATGTTGAACTCTTGATTGACCAGATCTTCCTCAGATACAATTCTCTCGTGTACAAAGAAATAGCATCTACCAGCAAGCATAACTCTGAGATCGAATTCGCAGCTACTAAGGAAAGATTAAGGATAGCTGAAGAGGACATTCAGAGACAAAGAATCGAATTCTTAGAATCCAGAAGTCTTCTGGAAAGCAAGATCAAACAACTTGAGGATGAACGAGTGCAATTTTCCGCTCAAAACCAGATCTTGAGTGAGAAGATCTCCCTTAAAGATAAGGAAATCCTAAATGTCTCTCTAACCTGGAAGCAAAAATACGAAGAAGTTAATGAAAAACTGGTTAAAATTAATGAGAAGTATTCTATACTTGATGAAAAGTACCAGGAACTCAAGGATGAATCTTCCCAGAAAGATACTACCTTTATTAAAGAAAACAGTGAGATCATGGCCAAAAGAGAACTAGCAGAGAACGAAGTCCGGTTTTTGAGAGAACAGGTTAATAATAAAGAAGAAAGAATTGAGGACTTACAGGAGACTATACTTAATTTGAAAGAAGAAAACCAACAGAAAGATATCCAGCTTAAAGAAGCATCAGTTCTTCAAGAGAAGGAGCTAGGAGATATCAGAGATAAAGAGATTGAGAGATATAGACGAGATATAGAGCATATTAAGAAGGTCAAGGAGAATATTGAAGTTAATTACCAGTCCTTGCAGAAGGAGAATATTGAGGCTATTAATAGAAATACCGATTTGAATAAGGTTCATCAGAACAGTAAGTAGTCTATTAGCTTGTTTACGAAATTTTAGTGGTGGATGAGAAACAACAGAATAAGAAGTTGACTAAGAAGCTATTGGACCATTTAAAAAGTAAATTGATAGAGAAGCATGAGTCTAACTGAACTCTCAAAAATATGTGAGCAAGTATGGAGCAAAACTTTAACCAAATGCAAGCTGAACAAACTCAAATGAAAGAGCAAATAGAAGCTTATAAAAGATACGAAACTGCATTTGAAGGTTGAGTTAGTCTGAAGTGTAAATCATGTATGAAGTTGATTTCTTCTTCAAATTTTCTAGACCATCAAGAGTTGTGCAGTAACTTATTCTCAATCCCGTTAGATATAACAGTATGTGACTTTGTAAAACAGTCTTCTCCAAATGATAGGTCTCCACACTATGCATATAACATCAGTGTCACATTCCTGAACACCACCTGGTATATTACTAAGAGGTTCAAGCAGTTGTGGCTTTTACACAGGAAGTTGATGACATGTTTCCAGTATAACCAAGAGAGGTTCTCTGAGTTTTTAGAGTGTACCAAACACCTGGTTTTTGATGATAAAAATGAAAAAGTGAACGATAAAGAGAGAACTAAGCTTGCCAACCAGAGAATGTACTTTATAAGAGATTATTTGGCAGCTATTATAGATCTTGAATATGTCAGGAAGAACTTAGAATTCAATAAGTTCATGGAGATTTATGAGCACTTTGATGAGATACAGGAGAATGCAGAAGTAGTTGAGGAGAGGAGTGATAATATGGTTGAGGAAGAATCAGGAGAAGAGAATCAGAGAATCGAGGGTCTGAATCAGCAACTGACCTCCTTCATTTCAATGAATAATCAATAATCATATATTTTTCAAGAAAGCATTGAACTAAAGGGGTTTTGGGGTTTTGGGGTTTTGGGGTTTTGGGGTTTTGGGG